TGGGTGCGTTGGATAGTCCAAAGGGCATGACTATCCACTCGTACAACCCATGCTGTGTCTTGAACGCGGTCTTCCACTCATCTCCAGGCCTGATTCTGATCTGGTGGTATCCACTTTTAAGGTCAATTTTTGAGAAGACCTTAGAACCAAACAATTGATCCAACATGTCATCCAGACAGGGAATCGAAAACTTGTACTTCACTGTAATCCTGTTAATTGCCCTGCTGTCAACACACATACGCCATGACCCATCTTTCTTCGGCACTAGTAGAGCAGGAACTGCACAAGGACTCATACTCTCACGAATGTAGCCCCTTTCCAATAATTCTACCACTTGTCGCTGCAACTCTTCAGCTTCCTTGGGACTGAGGCGATATGCTGGTCAGTTTGGTAGACTCGACCCCGGAATGAGGTCGATCTGATGTTGAATGTCCCTCATAGGTGGTAATCCTGGAGGAAGATCCTCTGGTATCAAGTCAGAAAACTCCATCAATAATTGTTGTACTTCTGCTGGTAATTCCAAATCCACATTTGCTGCACTATTTTCACGAGGCATTAAAGCATAAACTATTTTTTCACGCCCAACCTCAACCAAAAACCTGGACATAGAAAGTAGATTGGGGTTATTAACTACCGGGGCAGGGATGTTTCCTTCCTTGCGAGGCACCAAAACAATTCTCTTCCCTTTGATGCTTAGAGAATAAGTATTCTTCCGCCCATCATGGATAACACTGCGATCATACTGCCAAGGTCGTCCCAACAAAATATGACACGCGTCCATTGATACAACATCACACCAAGCGTTATCAAAATATTTTTTTCCAATCGAGAAAGACACTAAGCATCGTTTTTTCTACCGTTACCTCACTGCCTTTATTCAGCCAAGACAACTTGTATGGTTTGGGATGACGATCCATCTTCAGTTGCAGTTTCTATATAGCCTCCTCAGACACTACATTCTCGTAACTGCCACTATCAATTATCAGCTTACAGACTTTATCAACAATTGTGCAGGTTGTGTGGAAAACGTTGATCCTCAACCAATCATCCCCTGAGTCGCCCTTGGGAGTCAGTAGGCTCTTTCGAACGACCAGGGTCTCCTGACCATCTCCATATAGCACGTCCTCATCTTCACCCTCATCATACACGGGTTCCCCAACTTCCTCGAACTCCTCTATCATATCCTCCTCAATCAGAAGATTTTTATTCTTCTGACCAGCAGGCTTCCTGCAATCAGTCGCCCTATGCCCCTATTCACCACACCTAAAGCACTTAATACTTGAGTTGGAACTATCCTGCTGTGGCTGATAAGCAGGACGAGATTCTTGAGGGCGAACTGGCTGACTTTCTTTACCTCTGACTACTAGCCTCCTACTCTGTTGTTTCTCTATTGCAAGCGCTCACTGATATGCCTCAGAAACTGTCCACAATGAACGAAGGCTGAGAACATCCTACAGGGGCTGCCTTAATCCCCCCAAATACCGTGCTACCATCTGCTTCTCTATCTCAGATAAATCATTCTGAGCCACCAACTGATAGAATTTTTCAGTATAATCATTGACTGATCTTGCGTCTTGCCTTAGTGAATGAAGACTCTGAAACAAGTTTGAGTATAGCCAAAAGGGAAGAAGTGCCCTTTCATCTTCTTCTTCATCTTCTCCCAGTTAGTGATTTTGGATTTTCCCTGTCGCTCCCCTGAATGCTTCAATTGTTCCCACCATGCAGATGCCCTACCTTTGAGTTTGATGGCGACCGGTTTCACTTTGACACGATTTGGAACCTCCTTATATTCAAAAATCCGCTCCACTTCATTCAGCCAATCAATAAATCCTTCAGCCTGCAATGTACCAGAAAACTCGGGCAGATCCAC